CATGGATGTTTCTTTCTTCCCCGGATTTTTCAAACTTTTCCTTTAACGGGGAGTTCAACTTCCAATATTTCTGAACCACCTGGCTCACGAAATCTGGGAGTTGAAGACAATCAGTCAATCAATCAATCAATCAATCAGACTAGAGCTGGAAGGGGCCTTGGAGGTCTTCTAGTCTAGCCCCCTGCTCAAACGGGAGACCCCACTTGAAATCCACAAGTCATATAAAGGGGCCACACTTCCCCACCTCTCCTTTTGCAGAATGTTTGGGTCAATAATTGATGGGGTGCGACATCTCTCCAGTTTTTTAAAAGTTTTTTTTCTCTTTAACAGGATGCTGGGGTCAATTGTAATAGATCAGGATTCGTCTGAAGGATTTGCTTCTCTCCAGTTTTTAAAACAATTTTCCCTTTAACGAGCTGGTTGGGCCAATAATAATGGATCGGGGTCCGTCCCGCGAATTTTTCCTCCTCTCCTATTTGTTCTTTTTATAATACTGCAGTTCTTCTTTAAGAAGCCAGCGAAGACGACCGCAAGAGCAACAACCATTCACTTCGGTTTCCCGCCTGGGCGGAGTCCAAAGGGCGTCACCTGATTCGGAGGAAAAGAAGCGAAAGTAAACTTTCTCTTCCCTTTTGGAGGCGGCGATGGCGTCCGGAGCCTCCTTGCAGGGTTTGCTGGAAGAAGCCACCTGCTCCATTTGCCTGGACTATTTCCAGGATCCCGTGCTCATCCCGGAGTGCGGCCACAACTTCTGCCGGGGCTGCCTGACCCGCAGTTGGGGGACGTCGGAATCGGAGGTTTCCTGTCTCGAGTGCAGACAGACCTTCGCGCCCCGCAGCGTCCTCCCCAACCGGCAGCTGGCGCGGGTGGCTGAAGTGGCCAGGGGATGCAGCCGTCATCCGGGCGAGGAAGGGGGGAGCTTCTGCCCGAAGCACCGGGAGCCCCTCAAGCTTTTTTGTAAGGACCACGAGACCCTCATCTGCTTGGTCTGCGACCGATCCAAAGAGCACGAGGGCCACCCGGTGATCCCTGCGGAGGAGGCTTTCCAGGAATACCAGGTAGGAATCAGCCAGCAGGAATCGTTGCGGAGGAGCATCCAGATCCTCGGCTTTCCTGGAAATCCTTAGATCACTTTACTT